TTTACAAAATGAACTTTAGTCTTATTGTAATTGGCCTGATTATTGCATACAGTGCGGCAAGATTATTTTTTACATAGGCTTTTTAAAATTGGCTTTGGTGGAACTCTGTTCCATAGGGAATCTCAGATAAGATTTTTTTAAAGCTGAGCCCAGCCATGGGCTTGTACCTCAAATACCTATGAGCTGGGAAAATTCCTCTCCTCTTGAGGTCCCAGGATAACTTGGGGCTCCTAGGCCTGTTAGAAAGTGACATTCTTTTCTTACCACAGGTCAGGAACCTTGCACAGGGACTGTGTAGACAGAGTATGAGGCCAGATTTCCCTAGGGGCTGTTATTGGCTCTATAAGTCAACCTTGATTATTTAAAGAAAGTATGCCATTCCAGTCAAAGTCTTGGTAAAATAACCAGTTTCTCCAATTGTGTCCTGTTACAAAAGAAAACAGATTCTTATTGCACTTATGCAAATAACTATACTGCCATAAGTTGAGAATACTCACAAATAGTTTCCAAATTCTGGATAAATTAGGTAGAGAAACAAATATGCTCCAAATTTTGTTCATAGGAATATATTTTACTAAATTGTAAAAAGCTGTAAATAGCTCAAAAGTTTTCTTGGCTCTGGAAACAAAAAGGATCAGCAATGTTTTATGCAAAAAAGTCAGAAAAAGATTACTTTAGTCTTCTAATAGTTCAGTTAACCCCTGTTCTGCTTGATATACATGAATATTTCAGCTCTCCATGGGAGTCTTGGAAGTTTTTTCTGTTTATTCTAATGTCATAATCCCCAAAGTTATAAGAAACTTGCATTCAAGAGCACCTGTCAATGTTTTATAGCTGATTAGGAAACCACCATTTAAAGAGGATCAAAGTAAGGCAACAATTGCCTATGGATGACAAAAAATCTTAAGGCAGCCATAGTTAAAGACACAATTGACAAGAAAATGTGTTACCTCTGTGGCACACAATAATTTAACATAATTGTAATTCTTAATGATATCATATACTAAGTCATATCAGAAGTGTAGGAGTTTCACATAATTTTGGAGCATATACCTATAACACATTTACACAAATATAGCCCAAAGAAAGCCAAACACCATTTTAAATTTGACAGTGCTTCCTGTATGATTTTTATACCAAATAAGCCAACACATCAGTTTTGGACTTCAGGGGGCCTAATGTCTAAAGGATTAATTAGGTCAGAAAGTCACATACTTTATAATTTGATTTTGGAAAGTTTGTCAGATATCAAAGGCATAAAACACTGGATATCACAAAATGGGATCACAGTTTATTTACTTATCCGAGGTGGTAACTCAAAAAAAAATTTTTAAAGCAAAACCCTTTACTCTGATAGAAGAGTTTTAGTTTTCCAAACAAGACCCAATGGAGATAGCAAGAGGCCAACTAATATCTTGTCCTTCCTCCCCCTTTTTCCCTGCCATTTACCCAAAGGGGCAAAAAACCCCCTTTCATTATGTTTTAATATTACATAAAAATCTTTTTCAAATGAGAAAACCAAATTTCATGTTTGCATTAGTGCATCTTCAATGTTAAAGCTAGTTTTTTAAATAAAATATTATAAATCTATATAGTTTAAATTAGTTTGACCATAAGGTAATATTTTTATAAACTTTTTTAGAACCCTTTACAGTTTTCTCCATAGAGCTCTTTTTTTTTCTAAAGAAAAATTCTTTTAAATTTCTTGTTACCAGACTCTAGCCAGAAGAGCCAATATTTCTGGCTTTTGAATTCTACCACAAGTAACTTTCCACATGAAATTAATAACTTTTAACTAAGGTTATAACTTAACCATGGATGCATAAAGTGTTTTAAAGAGATGGTAAGCATTTTTTTAAAAAAGAAGATTTATAATCTCCCCAAGGATAGTTCAGAGAAAGGAAAATTCAAGACAGGAAATCAGAAGTGATTTGTTGAGGGGAAAAAAACCTTAATATGTGGCAAAGTTACACACATAATAAACCAGAGAGAAATTATTCCGGAAGCCAAGAATTGAATCTGTACTACCATTGTCAAAAAACAAAGCCTTAGCTACTGAGCTACACAGCATTGAGCAGTTTCTATTCCTCTTCCCAGAAGAAGTCTAGAGGAGTCAATTTCAAGCTTGCAAAGGCTCTTGATTGCTTAAGATAATTTTAGGGCTATGATATGAACCGTAAAATTTCTGTCCTCTGGATGGCAGAAACCAAGGGAAAGTATCCCCACATGGTTGCAAGGTTTAAGTTCTTAAGGACACAAAACAAGATAGAGAAATTTCATCCAGTATTGGTTTCAGGGACCCACAGCAAAGTTTATAAATGACCAGCCTGCTGGGGCTGGCTTGAAAAGCAGCCTTATAGGGGCCCTAAACCCTCATTGTATCCTGTGATACCTATTACAGAATAACACAGAAAGACAAATTCTTAGCACACAGCACACCAGATTTGCTACAGCCTAAGGCTAGTTTCACAAATCCTTTTTTCTATCAATCAGACTCATGCAGAGGAGACAAATAGTGCTGTCTACCATTTACATACACACATAGAGAAGGAGCGAGAAAGAGACCAGAAACTTGGCTGGTAAGAATTTCATATGCTTTTTTTTTTTTTTTTGCTGGCATACCAGGTTTCCAGGTTCCTTTTCTCTGCAGCTTCCAGAAGAATGGAGCAACTTTTGATGATCCTGCTTGATGTGCCATAGCTGTGGTGTTCCAGCCACTTTACAAAAGCCACTTTTTCTGTCTTATGGAATCATAGACAAAAGATTCTCAATTTTGCAAGATGTTGCCTAATGGGCTGCATGAGGAACCGAATTAACATTTTCCATTCTAGCAAAATACACATAACAAAACAGACACCAGTCACCTCATTCAGCATCCAATATCAACCTGTCAAAGCTCAAACTTTCTCCTGTTGGTCCCCTGTTGACTTTGATCTGCTCTAGGTGGGGAAGGATGACCTCTGAATGGTAATTCACAATGGGTGGTCTCTGGGCAAGGTGAAGAGTGGATAGTCACCCTGAGACAGGCCTGTTGAGCATTCTTTCAGGCTCATGGAATGTAACCAGACAAGGAAAGTTCTCTGAGTTAGGACTGTGGAACTTCTGTAGACAATTCCTTCTGAGATCCCCTTCACATGTACAAACATACGCTAAGACAAGAAGGACAGAAGGCCTTCCAAATCAGATTCCTAATCAAGAACTCCAAGAGTATCTCATCCAAACTATCCTCCTATTCTCAGTCTGAGAAATCTCCTTGAAATCTTCCTGACTGAGGAGAAGTCTCCTGAACCAAGACTTCCTACTAGTTAGGGAGAGCCAACCATGACTCCCCAGGAGCTGAACTGAGACAGACATCCCCCAGTGGGGCTATAGACAAACCAAGACCCCTGAAGGAGCTGAATTGAGATAGACATCCCATGGTGGAGCTACAAACAGATACCCCACAATGGGGCTGTGGACAGACACCCCATCATGGGGCTACAGAACCATTTGGGAGAAGGAAGGAGGCATTGGCAGTGCCTAGGATACTCACCAAACCAGACACCTTGTAATGGGGTTACAGCTACAGACACTCTGCCATGGAGCTATAGATACCCTGTGAGGGGGCTACAGTAATGGGATGTCTTACCAGGACTATTTCTTTATTATAGTTAAATCCATGCACATTGGGTGGGCAGCACTGCCAAGAGTAGCAGAGTCAGCCCCCAGTCCAAGAGAACTAGGCAGCCACTTGGGCTGGCCTCTGGATCCATTGCCAGAGTGGGACTACTGAACCATGTGCTGGTAGTCACAAGGGCATTGCTGGATGAGGCCCCAGATTTGTAACCACCCAGTGGGTTCACCTTGCCGCTGTGTGGACAGAACCAATTTATCATGATGGGAATTACAATAGAGAAAGAGTAATTCATGCAGAGCCTTCTTTGCAGTAGACTGGAGTTTTATTGTTACTCACATCAGTCTCCAATAAAGTTTGACTAATGAGGTACAGTGGTGTATGCTAAAACCAAGAGAGCATGCAAATGCATTTGTAAAGGTCCTGTCCTAATTTTCTTCATCAATAGATAAATTTTTGTAAGTCTGCCTTTCAATCATATTATATAGAAAGTGGTAGGCCAGGTGCAGTGGCTCATGCCTGTAATCGCAGCACTTTGGGAGGCTGAACTGGGTGGATCATTTGAGGTCAAGAGTTCAAGACCAGCTTGGCCAACATGATGAAACCCCATCTGTACTAAAAATACAAAAATTAGCTGGGTGTGGTGGTGTGGGCCTGTAGTCCCAGCTACTTAGGAGGCTGAGGCAGATGAATTACTTGAACCTGTGAAGTGGAGGTCGATATTGCACCACTGCACTCCAGCCATGGTGACAGAGTGAGACTCCATCTCAAAAAGAAGGAAAGAAAGAAACAAAGTGGCAATTAACTTACTTTTCTGTTATTTGTTGAGAAAAAAATGGGGTGGAGATATGGGAAGTTGGGCTTAATATCTCATATTAAATTTTCTGTTTAACCCTCTTTCTCTCTCTCTACCCCTCCTCTTCTCCTTCCCTTACCCCTGCTTGAAGCTATTATCTTTTAGTGAATTGGGTGTATGCCTAAAATCGCGGTCAAAAAACCTAGAAAAACTAGGATTATAAGTGTAGTCTCTTAACTCACAGAGCATATCAGTTGCTCAATAAAATTTTTCCCATGAATTAAAAAAAATCATAATAAAGCAGTCTAATAAGTGGATAAATCTATCCATTTTGGAATCAGGTTCAAATCTCAGTTCCGCAACTTGCTAGCTTCGCAGCTTGGGTCAAGCAGTGTATCTCTCCAAGCCTCAGTTCCCTCATATGTAATATATGATGTATTAATGTCTACTTCAGAAGATTAGATGAGATGAGTAAAGTACCTGACGTGTTTGTGGGTGTGTGTATGTAGATATAGCATGTATGGGATATAGTAATTTAATATTTTATTATTATTCCTATAACAGTATCTTTTTTATTTTTTTGTTTTGTAGATGCGGCTACCATGGTCTCTTGCTGTGCTATTTCTTGGTCAACTGTTGATTATCAAGTAGCTTTAAGAAAATCCTTACCTGACAAAAAGCTTCTTAATGGATTATGTCCTAAAATCACATATCTCTTTTACAAGTTTTTTACATTATTATCGTGGATGCTGAGTGTTGTACTTCTACTATTCTTAAATGTTAAGATTGCTTTATTTATGTTGTTATTTCTTTGGTTGTTAGGTGTAATATGGGCATTTAAAAAGAACACCCAGTTTTGTACTTCTGTAAGTATGGAATTCTTATATAGGATTGTTGTTGGATTCATTCTTATCTTTACGTTTTTTAATATTAAGGGACAGAATACCAAGTGTCCAATGTCTTGTTATTATATTGTTAGGGTACTGGGCACTTTGGGCATATTGATTGTATTCTGGGTTTGCCCTCTCACTGTTTTTAATTCAGACTATTTTATACCTATCAGTATCACTATAGTTCTTACTCTTCTTCTTGGAATTCTTTTTCTTATTGTTTATTATGGGACTTTTCACCCCAACAGAAGTGAAGAAACAAAATGTGATGAAATTGATGGAAAACCAGTTCTAAGAGAATGTAGAATGAGATATTTCCTAATGGAATAAGCTATTCATTTATGATGTATATTTTCTTATATTTTATTTCATTGGTTAGTAAAGAAAATGTGTATTATGTGAGTGTATTGTCTCTTATTTTTGCCACCTTTAATTTGAAATTAATTCTGTGAAATAGGAGGTACATAGTAGTATTTTATTTTTAAAATTAATTTCTCATTTGGTTTTGAAGATCTTGGGTACTCAGATATCTTTCTGCTGCCTGGTAGAGCTGCCATCTTGAGCCTGAAATGTAAGAAATGGTCTGGTTTTCATAATGAGAAGGCTGGAATTGAGCTTCCTTCCCATTTTTCTTCCTTGTTCCTGAACTAATACTACTGTACCTGTTGTGGAGGACTGCAAAGGGAAGAGAAAAGCAGAACACTTTATGATTTTTTCCTTTATTGTCTTCAGTGCATATATTTGCAGTTGGGGACAGGTTGAGTAGAGGAAAAGGGAAGGAAGGGAAAGAAGAAAACAAATTTTTAGCATCTGCTATGCTTTCATCCATGAAATCTCCAATTCATAAGTACGAAAGAGAATTGGTATGCATTTGAGAGGTTTGACATTTCATTATTTACTGATTTCCTAGCTTGTCTGAATTAATGCACTCTTAACATAATTATATTATTCCTATTTGTGCTAGAATAGTTGTATCTAAGTCATATTTTTAAATTGTTTTTATTTTTAAAAAATTATGGTAAAAACATATAAAATTTACCATCTTAATCACTTTTGCGTGTATAGTTCACCAGTGTTAACTGTATTCACCTTGTGCAACAGATCTCAAGAACTTTTTCATCTTGTAAAGCTAAGACTCTCTATTTATTGAACAAATCCCCATTTCCTCCTTTCCCAAGTCCCTGGCAACCACGATTATAATTTTTCGTTTCTATGAGTCTGACTACTTTAGATACCTTATTGCTATGGTTTGAATGTGCCCCCAAAATTTCATGTGTTTGAAACTTAATCTCCAAATATGTATGTTGATCGCATTTGGAAATGGTGGGGACTTTGGGCGGCAGTATTTAAGATTAGATTAGATAAGGTTATCAGGATGGGTTCCCCATGATGGGACTGGTGGTTTTATAGGAAAAGGAAGAGAGACCTGAGCTAACACACTCTTGCCCTCACTATTTGATGCCCTCTGCCATGTTATGATACAACAAAGAGGCCCTCACCAGATGCCAGTGCTATGCTCTTGGCCTTCCCAAGCTCTAAAACCATGAGTAAAGTAAACTTTTCTTTATAAATTACCCAGTCCCTGGTATTCAGGAGAAAACACACTAAGACACATATAAGTGTAGTCATATTGTATTTGTCTTTTGTTACTGGCCTATTTCATTGAGTATAATGTCTCTGAGCTTCATATTTTAGCATGTGACAAGATTTACTTTTTTTTTTTTTTTAAGGCTGAATAGTGTTCCATTGTATGTATGTGCCACATTTTCTTTATCCATTCATTCATTGATGAATGGATTGACGAATGGATATTTGGGTTGCTTCCACCTCTTGGCTATTGTGAATAGTGCAACAGTGAACTTGGATTTACAAATACTTCTTTGAGATTCTGCTTTCAGTTCTTTTGGATATATACTCAGAAGTGGGATTACTTGATCACATGGTAATTCTGTTTTAAATCCTATTCAGAAGTAGGATTTCTTGATCATATGCTAGTTGTGTTGAGGAACCCTCTTACTGTTTCCATAATGGCTGCACTATTTTACAATCCCACCGATAGTGCATAAATGCCCCAGTTTCTCTATGTCCTCACCAACACATGTTGTATTCTGTTTTTTTTTCTTTTGATAATGGTCACCCTAATGAATATGAGATGATATTTCTTTGTAGTTTTGATTTGGATTTCTTTAATGATTGGTGATGTTAAGCATCTTTTTATGTGCTTATTGGCCATTCATATATCTTCTTTGAGAACTGTCTATTTCTAAGAGTATGTAAATAATTTCTATAACTGGACAACAATAAAAAAGCCTAAATAACCTGATGAAAACTGGGCAAAAACTCAGTAATATGTCCCCTATACTACTCTTTGAGAAAGTTAATCAGTGTGAACCATATACTCTTGTAGGAGGCAGGAAATCTTTGGTTTACCTTGGGCACATAATTCTTGTATAATTACATAGCTCCCTGTTTCTGCATGTTTGGTGTATATGTTTGCATGTATGTTTGTGGGGTGAAGGTGAGAAAAGAAGTTAAGCTGCTTGGTCTCCATTGATTGCCTTTTCTCTTGAGTATGGGTTACATTTTCACGTTTGCTCATATGGCTACTATTTTTGAATTGTGTCCTTGATGGTATGACTGATACATTTTAGATCCTCTTGATTATTTTTGTTCTTCAGAGGAACATTTTTTTTTTCTTTTCAGCAGGCAGTAACTTGAACTTTAAGCTCTGAACTCTAAACAATCTTTATTTAACCTTCAGTGGGCTGCATAGGGTGTTCCCTTATATGCATAGTTCAAGGTCAGCCTAAAATTTGGGCAGAATTAATATATGAAGTGAGACTTCCTTTCTGTTGGTTCTATTTTTCTCCTAGATTTTCCACCTCATTTTTCAGCAGTTGTGGTCATCGCATACTCCATTCTCTGGGCCTTAAAACCACTAAAACTGTAGGTTTTTAAATTTGGATTTTGTGTAGTTGATGTGCTGAGTGGGGTCTGCTCTGACTCAGTGCCATTCCTTCTTCCAGATGTCGACCACTCTCCAGTGTCTGCTTGCTTTTTTTTTGCTGTCAAGTGCTTTCAGGTAATTGTCAGTATTTTGTCCAGTGTTCATAGTGGTTATTTGTGAGAGGATTTGTGCAATAAGAGATATACCCACCTTCTTATTAATCTATAACATTTTCAGTAATCTTCCTGTAATATTTGCCAGTCTTTCTGCCAGCATTTTGGGAGGCTGAGGCAGGTGGATCATCTGATATCAGAAGTTCAAGACCACCCTGGCCAACATGGTGAAACCCCATCTCTACTAAAAATACAAAAATTAGCCCGGCTACCTCTAATCCCAGCTACTTGGGAGGCTGAGGAAGGAGAATCACTCGAACTTGGGAGGCAGAAGCTGCAGCGAGCAGAGATCATGCCATTACACTCCAGCCTGGGTGACAGAGCGAGACTTCACCTCAAAAGTAAAATCTTTCTGTAATATTTACTTGGACAAGATGTATAAAGCTTTTTAAATTTAACATTTAGTTCTCTCTCATCTCTAATGACCCTGATAAAAACTGCAATATAGATATTATTATCATCACTACCCTTTAACTGGGAGAACCAAGGTTCATAGAGTTTAAATAATTTGCCAAAGTTCACACAGATCAAATCTCAGGACTTTTCACCTCAAATCCAGTTTATTTTTTGTGAAACCATGCTGTCTTTATCTGATGAATAGGTTACCTAGAGCTATGCTAAGTTATGCATGATTTAAAAATTATTATTTTTGTGATAGAGTCTTGCTCTGTCACCCAGGCTGGAGTGCAGTGGTGTGATTGTGGCTCACCACAACCTCAACCTCCTGGGTTCAAGTGATTCTCGTGCTTCAGTCACCCAGGTAGCTGGGACTACAGGTGTGCACCACCATGCCTGGCTAATTTTTGTATTTTTAGTAGAGATTGGGTTTTGCCATGTTGGCCAGGCTGGTCTTAAACTCTTGGCCTCAAGTGATCCACCTGCCTTGGCCTCCCAAAGTGCTGGGATTACAGGCATGAGTTACCATGCCAGGCCTAAATTATTTATTTGCCTATGATATAATTTTTAAAAACGTTTAGCCTACATATTTTCCAGCTTTAGCTCAAGGTAGAGCTGGAATTATGTCTCTGTTAGCTTGAACAATCCCGTTAACAATATATGTAATGGGAAAAAGGGTAGGAAATAATATATTATACATCTACTAAGGAGTTCGAATGCTAAGTATCCCACAGAAACATAGATTAAGTATTCATTCCATCCAACAAACGTTTTCTTATTGGTTTTATAGCCAAGAAATAAAGGGGAAGATCCTGGTCAGATGTTCTGGCTAAATAGTAAGCTTTTAAAATGAACTTTTAATATAGAATGAACTTAATTAATTTTATCCTCTTATGTTCTATATGGTTCGGTCATGGCTTTACAACACTTAAATTTTCACAACTAAATTATGAGATTTTTCTAGATTATTATGTGCATATAAGAGGCCTTTTGAAATTTAAAAAAGCAGAAAAGTAATTATGAGCAATATTTTCATAAAAGAACACTCATATGCACCTATATACATTCACATCTTCAAATATGAATACTATCCTCATAGACTAGTGGTTCTCAACCTTTAGTGTGCATCAGAATCACCTGGAGTGCTTATTGAAACACATTGCTGGCCCCTATCCCGAGTTTCTTTTTAGCAGGCATTAGGTAGGACTTGAAATATGCATGTTTAAAAAAGTTCCCGGATGTTGCTGATGCTGGTGTTCTCCCCTCCCTTCTTTGAGAATCCCCGTTGACTTTTGAAGGCTATCAGTTAATAACTAGTTTCAAAACAGCCACTAGAGGGCAGTGGAACCACAGAGAAATTGGACGTGCTGCTTAATTTGTTCCCTGGTTTATATGATCAACTATATATTGCTGCAAGCCAGGAGAACACCAAAGCCAAACATTAATTTCTAGCACAATATCTTGATGCTCATTTCCAATTGTAAATCTTGTCCTTGTAATTGTGGGGGTCAGAGATATATAATACGTCTCTAACTCTGCTGGCTGATGCCCCACTTAATGATTATAATAAATTCAAAGTTGGACTTTTCTAGGTGAGCATTTGCACATATACATAGTAGTCTTTGGAGTTAACATGAACCATTTGTGGTTTCCCAAAGAGGCTATATTTTGCTATTAGATCTAGTTTTTTTTTTTTTTTTGAGACGGAGTCTCGCTCTGTCGCCCAGGCTGGAGTGCAGTGGCGCGATCTCGGCTCACTGCAAGCTCCGCCTCCCGGGTTCCCGCCATTCTCCTGGCTCAGCCTCCCAAGTAGCTGGGACTACAGGCGCCCACCACCTCGCCCGGCTAGTTTTTTGTATTTTTAGTAGAGACGGGGTTTCA